ATTAAAGACCAATTTTTTTATGTGCGACAAATATAGAAAAGCACACTAATATGGTTTGTTTGGGAAAGATTTTCATTTTTTAAAAATCGTTCTTCCCCAGAATAATTTTCTATCATACATTCTAAGGAATTATAACTTTTCTATACTTTTTAACCACTCTCCCCAAAATAATTTTCGACCATACATTCTATGAGACTTATAGTTATTGCATATTTTTTAACCACGTATTCTTCCAAAAAAAAAAAAAATCATTTCTTGGAAAAATCTTTCCCAAACAAATGCATAATTATAAAAATGTATGACATAGAAAAGCAATAAATGTTGAAAAGGCTTTAGCAAAAGTGTCTAAAGTTGTTAAATAAAAATATCCCTGGGAAAAGAAAGGCCCAAAAAATTGGAAAAACCCTTCACGTCTAATTGGTTTACCTGTTCACGACTTCGGTCAGCATTCTTGTCAATCTCAGCAAAATCAACGCGTCGCTGCTTCCCATTTATCTCATATCTTTGAAGATTACGACGAGCGCTAAGTGCTGTCTTCTCGTCCTTATATTCACAGAACCCATAGCCCTTCGGCTTCCCAGTTTCTCTATCAATAACTAATCTGAGTAGAAAAGAAGCAGAAAAACTTTTTGAGTAGCTTTCTTAGAAGGGCATAAATGAGTAAGTTATAATATAGAAGAGTCCATTTGAGAATAATTTTCCCTTCAACACAAAACAAAATCTCTTGATAATTAAATCTTTGAAGAACACGCTGAATATCAGATCATTTATTTCTTCATGTTACTGAAGCCAATATAGCATCAGTTCCTTTCAACAATTATTTCAGGCACACGTCGGAAATTCAGAAAATCAAACAAAATTTGCAGTTCATTAAAAAGGCTATTTTTTTTGCACCAAAACAATGTTGCTCGCTGTGCCAAATCCACTAATACTTGATCAATCACACATCACTCACAGATATTAACACCTCCAACCTATAAGTGAATCAATTTTGACAAGTCCTATGAAGGTAAAAACAATATGAAGGTAAAAACAACTCGAGGAGATACACATAAGACCTTTATCTCAACATACAAGGATGTTTTCTCCATACACTTGCATAAGTTTTCTTGAGAGCTCTCTATCAAATTTGACCGTCGAATTTGAATCAGCCTTCACCACTCCCTCCGGCATCTCTATTGCATATGAATCAATAAGGACTAGAGGAAAAAACACCAAACGAACTGGAAATTGATATGGATCTATGAGTAAATTTTCAACACCAATGAGTATCCTCTGGCAATACTTTTGCATGAATAAAATCATCATATGGCTGCTAACCAGGTTTACAACCCCCTTGGAGGCTTGGACACAGGACAAATTGGCTGACTTCTTACAAGCAGTATTACCATATGAAACTTCAGCATACGGCACAGCAGTAAAATCGCACCATACTAACACCATATTATATGCATTTGGCATGTCTGGAAACAGCAAGCTTCACCCTTTCCAAGATTTGGCTTCTATTTTATGGGCCTCAGAAATGAAAATTCAAAGTTGAAACCTTAGCATTTTATCAGACCATCAAGGGATACTGATGAGGACATCCCAGTTTTAATTATTTTAGTTGGACTTTTATTTCTTAGTTGGACTTAGATTATTTATTTTATTTTATGGACTCGTGTATTGGGCTTGGCTCTATCTTTTAGGTTTGCAGTATTTTCAGTATTTAAACCTATTTTACATTGTAATTGGGACAATGATGAATTGATTGAATAAAAAAGGTTGGCTGCAGCCCCCGTTTTCTCCCTCCCCTCTCTTCCCCTGGTTCTTCTCCCTTCTCTCTCGTAATTTTCTGTCCACTTTCTTCTCCCTCTCCTCCCCCTTCTTGTTTTATCCTACATCAAATTGGTATCAGAGCTAAAACCTAAATTTTGTCACAAAAATGGCCGCACTTCCGTCTGTCTCTCCAACCACCGATTGATGAAACAACCGCCACAACAACTACTACCTGCAATAATTCCCAGCATCATCTTCTACATACGACCATATCACCGGAATTATATCCAAACAAAACACCAAGGCAACCGCTCTTCCCATACAGTTAAACCACGACATACAGTTAACGCACAACACAACCCACTCGTGACAAAAACCAACCACTGAAATCAAATCTCATCAACCTGCCAATCAAACCATCACAGTAAACCAGAAATTGAAGCAAACTGTCGGAAATTACAGCAACCAGAAACGGAACCATCACCTCTCCTAGCTCGACCCACTCGCGAAACCCATAAAACGCCGACCGCCAGACATCTCCCTCAGCTCAGCCACCACAGTACCTTCATCTACCCAAGCCACCACGTCGACAGACCAACACAAAAGGCGAGCCAGTGCCTTCTCCGAGTCGCGCTGCACGTAATCGCCTCCAATTAGCCCCAATCCTCATATAGGCTGCGAGATACGGTAGAGAAATCGACTGGGCTACAATACTACTGGCAATCGGTTTTATTTGGACTGTGGCCTAGTTATGGGCTTGTGTTTGATTGGGGATTCGAATTTGATTTAGGCCCAATTTTGTGAAATGGGCTCGGTTATTGTTTTGTTGTTCTGATTTTGTTATTAAAAAAAAAAAAGAGCGAGAATTTTTGAGAATTTCCTGACATTATTTTACAGGTTTATTTTAGTTGACTGATCAGTATCGCACCTCGACGAACACGAAATTTTCTGTCTTGGCATTTCAGAGTTTAGTAGTTCAGAAAGTGGAGACATTCGACGCTGGGACGACTCAGGCCAACTAAACTCAGGGAGTTCCTACTCCTATCTATTTTAGTTGACACTATTTCTTTATTTTAGAATTGCATAAGTTAATTCTTTGTGTGCTAGCCTTTTGACAATTTTTGCCTTAAATCTATTTGATTGAAATTCACGAACTAACTCCCATTGCTTTCTCATTTACCACACGTGATTAAGCCTATCATTTGTACCTTTGCTTTTATTTTATTTGCATTAGTATTATTAGCTTGCGATCGGACCATACAAAACCCTCTTTTTTTTTTTTTAAGTTAACAAACAATAATAATAATAATAATAATAAAATTTCAGATTGTGAATTTACTTTTAGCACTCGTTGTTTTTGATCTCTATAGCGCACTTCATCTAGCTTGTGTTACCATGTATGCAATTGCATAGTAGTCGCGTTATTGCCTCTAACTGTAGTACCCTTGCCATGGACCTTTCCCACATTGAAGCTATCACCCGACAGTTGACACAATTACAAAATCAATTAACAGCTGTCCAAACTGATTTAGCCGCTACTCGCGAGGAGAATAGAGCCCTAACCGCTAAGGTAAACACTCTTGACCCAACCCAATCCTCAACTGCTTCCATTAATAGACCACATCGTCGTCCACAAGGTGGTCGACACCATGCTAGACATGATCGTGGTGAAGGAAATCAAGCTCGTGGACGCGAGCGGGAATATCACCGTCATGGTACACTATCTCCCCCTCGCCACGAGGAGCGCCTCTTTCGAAATATTAAGTTAGATGCCCCTACATTTGATGGTTGTCTAGATCCTAGTGTATTCAATCAATGGGTTAGAGATATGGATCGTTTCTTTGCCTGGTATGGGGTCCCTGAAGATCGGAGGGTATAATTTGCCGGTTTGAAATTAACTGGCACAGCTCAACTGTTTTGGAAAAGTGTTGAGGACCTCCTAGAGAGGCCCCATGCTCTCCCTGCTGGGAACTGGGATGAAATGAAGCGTCGCCTTGAAGAAAAATATTTACCTCAATCTTACAGGGACAACTTGCTGGATCAATGGAACGCACTTACGCAAGGCAGTCGACCTGTGACCGAATATGTTGCTCAGTTTGACGAGTTTCGAATGAGCTGTCACGTCTTTGAGGATGAAGTCATGACCTTAAGTAGATTTAGGCAAGGCCTACGAGATGATCTTCGACGTGAGCTTGTTCTTAGAGGTGTCACCACTCTTGACCACGCCTACTCTTTCGTTCGGGATTACGAGTTAGTGACTAGGACACCGTACAAAAGTTGTAGTGACTCCCGCACCGCAACCTCTTCTGCATCCACTCCATCCCCTAATTCTATTCTGTGACCTTTTCCTTCTAATACTACCCCTACATCGGATAGTAAAGGTAGAGGTTCTGAGGTTTCAAGAACTTTCTCTCGTTTGCAATGCTTCAACTGTAAGGGTTTTGGTCACATTGCTTCTAAGTGTCCTAGCCGAGCCCAAGTTTTGGAAGAGCGTGAAGGTTTAGTTGATGAGCCACTAGAGGATCAGGTTTGTGAGCCTAAGTTAGAAGAGTTTGATGACTTGGAGGATAGTGAAGATACCTTCTTGGGTTGTATCCAGACTTGTCCCCTTATCCCACATACGCCTAGAGTCGGTGTCGTCCGTTGTACTCTTACCCAGCCTAGGGATGCCGATGATTAGCGCCGTCATGCCATCTTTCACACTTACATCAAGATTAATAATAAGGGCTGTAAAGTTATCGTGGATAGTGGCAGCTGCATTAATGCGGTTTCGATGGCTACTGTCTCCCGTCTAGGGTTAAAATCTGTTCCTCACCCTCAGCCATACAGCGTCTCTTGGGTTGATGCCTCCTCCATAGCTGTCAAGGAGCGTTGTTTAGTCCCTATCCAATTTCTCGAGTATAAGGACCATATATGATGTGACGTCATTTCAATGGACGTCGGACACATCATCTTGGGACGACCTTGGTTATTTGACCTAGATGTAACCATCTATGGTCGATCCAATTCCTACTCCTTCGTGTTTAATGGAAATAAGATTCACCTTAACCCACTGCCTCCGAAGCCTGTTGGCCCACTGGAAACGAAGAAAAGTGTGGAACGAAAGGAATTGCACATCATTAGTCCTACGGAGTTTGAGCGTACACTTGTTGGTGACTCAGTTGTGTTCGCTTTGGTGGTCATGGAGGTCCCATCACACTCCACAATAGAGAGCCCTATTGAAGTCTTGTCGATCCTCTAAGAGTTTCGAGACGTCTTTCCGGAGGACCTACCTGATCATCTACCTCCACTAAGGGATATTCAACATGCCATAGACTTCGTCCTAGGGGCATCCCTCCCAAATTTGCCTCATTATATGATGAATCCTACCGAGCACGCTGAACTTCAAAGGCAAGTGGATGACCTCCTTCACAAAGGATTCATTCGTGAGAGTTTAAGTCCGTGTGCTGTCCCCGCCCTGTTGACGCCCAAGAGGGATGGTTCTTGGAGGATGTGTGTGGATAGTCGCGCGATCAATAGGATTACGGTGAAGTATCGTTTTCCCATTCCTAGACTTGACGATATGTTAGACATGATGGTTGGTGCCACAATCTTTTCGAAGATTGATCTGAAGAGTCGATACCATCAGATTCGAATTCGCCCGGGTGATGAGTGGAAGACCGCGTTCAAAACGAAAGATGGTCTTTATGAATGGCTGATCATGCCTTTTGGGCTAAGTAATGCGCCAAGTATCTTTATGCGGGTAATGACACAAACTCTCCGATCTTTCATGGGAAAGTTTCTTGTTGTCTACTTTGATGATATCCTCATCTATAGTAAGTCTAAGGAGCAACACCTTGACCACCTCACATAAGTCTGCTCTACCCTTCGTGCAACTAATCTATATGCTAATGTCAAGAAGCGCTCTTTCTTCACCAATACAGTCGTTTTTTTGGTTTTCATTGTCTCTTCGACAGGAGTATCTGCTGATCCTGCTAAGGTTCAGGCAATTATTAACTGGCCTGAGCCTAATGCTATTCATGACGTCCGAAGCTTTCACGACTTAACTACATTTTACCGTCGCTTTATTAAGGGGTTTAGCACTATTATGGCGCCCATCACGGAATGCATGAAGAAAGGAGAGTTTCGTTGGACACAAGAAGCGGCTAAGGCCTTTAAGTTAGTCAAGAAGCGAATGACGGAGGCTCCTGTTATGCGCCTTCCCGACTTTTCCAAAGTCTTTGAAGTTGAATGTGATGCCTCCAGGGTAGGTATGGGCGGAGTCTTGAGTCAGGATCGTCACCCGGTTGCCTACTTCAGTGAGAAGCTAAATGAAGCCAAATAACGGTACTCAACTTATGATAAGGAACTGTATGCGGTGGTCTAGGCTTTGCGCTATTGGCGCCACTATTTGTTGCCCCAAGTATTTGTCCTTTATTCGGATCACGAGGCCCTCCGTTACCTCAACTCCCAGAAAAGATTAAGTTCTAGGCACGGTCGTTGAGTCGAATATTTGCAAGCCTATTCGTTTGTTTTAAAACACAAGAAGGGTGTGGAAAACTAAGCAGCGGACGCATTAAGTCGTCGTGTCTCCCTTTTGTCGATCATGAGTGTCAATGTCATCGGTTTTGAAAGACTTAAGGAGGATTACGAGGCATGTCCCGATTTTAAAGATATCTTTCTTAATTTACAGAGGGGACAATCAGGCACCACAGATGGCTTCCGACTTGAGGAGGGTTTTCTCTTTCAAGCCAATAAATTGTGCATCCCTCGAACTTCATTACGAGATTTCATCGTGTGGGAAATTCATGCAGGCGGGTTAGCCGGTCATTTTGGACGTGATAAGACTATAGAGGAAGTAGAACGTCAATTCTATTGGCCTAACTTGAAGAAAGACGTGGCTAAGATTGTTAGTACTTGTAACACTTGTCAATTGAGTAAGCAAAAGAAGCAGAATACAGGTCTATACACCCCTCTCCCTGTCCCCATTGTCCTTGGCAAGATGTCAGTATGGATTTTGTGTAAGGACTTCCACGCACCCCAAAGAAGCATGACTCTATTTTTGTGGTTGTCGATCACTTCTCAAAGATGGCTCATTTTATCCCCTGTAGCAAGACGTCGGATGCGTCCAAGGTTGCCCTGTTATTCTTTAATGAAATTGTCAAATTGTATGGGCTTCCCAAGACCATCGTGTCTGATAGGGACGTTCGTTTCACTAGCCATTTTTGAAGAACATTGTGGCATAAGATGGGTACCAAATTGAAATTTTCTACGGCCTACCACCCTCAGACTGACAGTCAAACTGAAGTAGTTAATCGAATTCTTGATAACCTATTACGTTGGCTGGTCCGGGAAAACCTTTGAAATTGGGTTTTGATCCTTCCTGTAGCTCAAATTGCGTATAATAGCTCCATAAATTGTTCATTAGGTATGAGTCCATTTGAAGCCGTTCATGGGTACAAGCCTAGGAAACCGTTAGATCTCATCCCTATTTCCCCACAGGCTAGAGTGTCAATATCAGCCGAAACATTTGCACAGCATCTTCGTGACTTGCATATTGAGATCAATAAACAACTTGCAGCTAGTAATGCAAAATATAAATTCCAAGCTGATTTACACAAACGACATATTGAGTTTAACATTGGGGATTACATTATGGTTCGCATTAGGCCAGAGCGACGTCTACATGGACCCGCCTCCAAATTGCAAGCTCGTAGTGCTGGTCCTTTTAAAATTTTACAGCAGGTTGGTCCAAATGCATATATTGTTGACATTCCACCACACCTTGGTTACCACTCTACTTTCAATGTTGAGGACCTTGTAGCCTATAAAGGTCATTTCATTCCCTCAGATGATCATTTGTCATCTCCTTTTGTGGACCTTGATCCTGATTCTTTGGCCCCTTCTAACCCACTACCACCTCTCACAGCACACAAAGAAAAAATTGATGCTATTTTAGATGAAGAAACTGTGTTCACTAATGATGGAGAGGTTCAGCGCTTCCTTGTTCGTTGAATTGGTCGACCAGATTGTGACTGTGCATGGATCTCCAAGGAGACACTACAGCAATTGGATCCAGATTTTTTAAAGTTTTATCGGAATCAGCAGGATCTTCATTGGTCCAGATCGCCTCCCGTCCACCCGAGGGAAGTTGGTGAGGACACCAGGTTCAGACCGCCACTGATGCATTTCTACAGACGCCGGAAGAAGCTTGCCCAGCCATTCAGCTTATGGTTGAGAGATTGACGGAAGCCTATGGTGATATAGCCACTCGACAGGGTCGAGTTTTCTCTCCCACCCTGGGAGAATTGATGAGGACATCCCAATTTTAATTATTTTAGTTGGACTTTTATTTCTTAGTTGGACTTAGATTATTTATTTTATTTTATGGACTCGTGTATTGGGCTTGGCCCCTGTCTTTTAGGTTTGCAGTATTTTCAGTATTTAAACCTATTTTACATTGTAATTGGGACAATGATGAATTGATTGAGCAAAAAAGGTTGGCTGCAGCCCCCGTTTTCTCCCTCCCCTCTCTTCCCCTGGTTCTTCTCCTCTTCTCCCTTCTCTCTCGTACTTTTCTGTCCACTTTCTTCTCCCTCTCCTCCCCTTCTTGTTTTATCCTACATCAGATACACATTTCATCTAATATTATACATAGGTGATGTCCTGGTAAATTCGCCCTAAAACTTAATTGTTAAGACCTCCATCTCCTTTGCACTTGTTTCCTATCTACATTTTTCTTCCTCGTCTCAAACAACAAATTATACAGTAATGCACCCTGACATCTTTCTTATATGAACAAACATTTGTCCAAAATGTTACACCTAGAAAACATGGATCTACAAGGATCCAATTCAATTCTCACAACCAGTGTGTAATTTCTACACCTATCCGACGTCAAAGAGAATATTTAAAAGTCAATTTGATGGAATTACTACTTAATTTTAGTTGAATATCAATTATTTTATGATAAACTCGAGCTTGGATGGCTTTTGATAAAAAGAAGTGAAAATTTATCGAGGAAGAGCGAAAAGGGAAGAATTATAAAGTCCAAGTACTAAGTCGCAAATCTCCAATAGTTGATTCGGACCGAGAAATGATGATTGAAGATTATAAGATCAAATCGATGAAATTAGAAGATGAAGGACCAAAATCGTTTATAAGAAGGACTCATGCTGAACAAGGAGTCAAAATTAGGGACCAACTCAAAGCTAACCTCAAAATTAGAGGCGTACGATCTAGTGTTAGAGGATAACAGAACGCCTATGCGATCGCACCAAGTAATGCGATGCGATCACATAGTCAATTATCTGACAGAAATTCTATTTCCTTGTGTAATACAGATTTTTTAGGAAACCAATTGGAACAAAGATTTCGACTCATATCTTAACTCTATAAATACCAAACTTCATCTCTCTAACAATTAAAATGAGCTCTCATAACATACAACACACGATTTCTTGCAAACGAGAGAGCCAAATATTATCCTTTAGGGAGGAAACCATAGGTAAGAGTCAAGAAATTCATCCTTGAAGATTATTTTTATTTTTTGGCAAAGAACAAGGTGCTACTCAAAAATGTTCAAGAAGACTTTCAAGAATTCGTGGCTACTTTATATATCTCGATTCCGGGTGATGATTCATTATCCCAACACTACCCTTTATTATGAAGTTTTATCATCGATTTCAAGACTTCGACGTTATTTATCTTGTATGATTGCCATAGTATTTAACATTTTTCAATTAATTGATCGCTAAGTGGAATGACGTGTGATTTGTATGATATTTAAGAGAAATAATAATAAACAAGATAGCATGTTATAACAATTGTTGTGAGGTTCAATAGGGGGATAAAGATATAAGATCATGCCTTGCAATGTTTTCAATAGGTATTCTAATGTTTGTAATGCATTCTTTTATCTTCTCATCTTTCATAGAAATATAGGGAGGTCACATGTGATGATAGATTTAATTATACTAAAGAGAGATTGTTAAACAAAATAGAAATAGTGAAATACTCAAGTATTGCCATGGTCTTGAGTTGTGTTAAAATGGAAAAATAAGGAGGTATTCGAAGTCTTTGTGCATGTTTTAATTGGTTTTACAATTCGTAGTTACTCATTAGTGAGTTAGAAAATTAGTTATAAAGTCACAACTCACAAACTGACTATTCGATTAGAGTTTGTATTAATTAGAGCTAGATGAGGTACATAGTTTTCTTGGAAATTGATTACTTAATAAATCAAATATGACTTATTTTTCCAATTAATGGAGAGACAGGGAAAACAAAATCTTAACTTTTTTCTTTGAATTGAACTGACCTGAATGAAACAACGGGGCCAACCTCCTCACAAATTTGAATGAGTTGTTCTTCAGTGGCATCATACGGTATATTCCCAACTATATATGTCAATCGATACAATTATCAATGAAAGCGAAAAGTTTCATCACTCTGACAGTTCTTGCGTGACTGTTGCAAAGAAGAATCTATATATAATGTAAGTACAATAAAAGACTAAGAGGGGGAAAACTAACCAAAAACGCTGCGATGCTGAGATTGAGAACTGGCCATGTAACGGAAAACATTCTATCAAAATAAGGTGAAGCAGATGTAGGAATTCGGCTTCATCTTCTTCTTTTCATTATTATTTCCGAGGAAAAAAATTCAAAATAATTATCATTCCACGCAGAGATTGGGTTAGGGCTTCTGTATGTATAATCAAGAAACCACGAGTATGAAAAAAAATGGCGAAAACGTTTCTTTATCGCCCAAATTAATTATTTATTTACAGCCGCAAAGTAGAGATACAGATACTGATACAGAGTATTGTTGGCGCCCGATGTTTTGGACCTCCGATTCGAACTGGATTGTGGGGCTGGACAATATCCAGTTCGGCTATCTTGTGAACCCATCGTCTCCCCCTATTTATTTTTTCCTCATCTATTTTTGAAAAATAAAGAACAAAATGTAGAGATCAAACCTGGAAGAAGAAGACATTTTTGAATTTCTTTGGAAAAAATCTTCTTTGTTTAGAAAACGGCTAGTCTTTGAAAAACAATGACTGCAGAGGAGGAAATATACAAAAATGGTCTAGCAAAAATTGACATTAACATTTGACCCATTAAATGAATTAAAAAAAAACAAATTAAGTTAAAAAAAACTTCACAGTATTTTCCCATTTTACCCTTCAGACTGTTTGATAATTCTCTCACCGACCGACCAGTGCAGAAATTCGACCGACCGACCACCGGAGTTACACTAACGTCGCAATCAACGATCATCATCTACAGTGGAAGTAAAAGAATCGATTAGTTTTCTGATCAAAACTCCAGTTCGAATGCTTTTTTTCATAGTATAGCATCCTTAGTAATTTTGGTTGAAATTAGATCCATGGGCATGAGTAGCTAGATTGTGGGCATGCTGGAGTGTGAAAAATGAGATTTTTTGCCATTTTTTGGAGCTCAGTGGCCGGGAATGGCGATTTCCGGTCGTTTCCCGGCCACCGAGCGTTGGCAACGCACCAAACCGACTGTAAACAATGCTGAGATTGAAACGGCCGGAAACTGCCATTCCCGGCCACTAAGCTCCAAAAAATGGCAAAAATCTCATTTTTCACACTCCAGCATGCCCACAATCTAGCTACTCATGCCCATGGATCTAATTTCAACCAAAATTACTAAGGATGCTATACTATGAAAAAAAGCATTCGAACTAGAGTTTTGATCAGAAAACTAATCGGTTCTTTTCGGGTAAACCGACTGTTAACAGTCGGCCTGACTGTTAACAAACAGTCGGCCCAAACTGTTAACAGTCGGGCATCTAGGCCGGTTCACCGGCCCAGATTAAATATTTAAATTTAAAATTTTTTTATAATTTTTGTAATTAATTAAATTTTTTATTTGATTAAATAGTAATTATATTATTTACTTACTTAATTTTTTTATCATTGTCAATATAATATAATAATTGAAATATTGTAAAATTAACAATGTTGATTTTTTTTTT